AAAAAGAATCCTAAAAACTGAAACAATATATTTGCATAATTTAAAGCCATTAAGAAATCGATCTCTAAATCAGATTTGATTTTCATAATATGTTTTTTTTATTTCGAATTCCATACAAAATGGAATTCTTTACAACCAATAGATGTCATAGCAAATATTAACTCTTAATTATTAGACTATTAGTACATATCGAGCAAATTGTGTACTGATTTTAGAAAGTTAAAATGACTCATGTTAGGTAATTTTACATTTTATGCATGTTGAACGGTGAGTTTTAAATATTGTTTCATAGAATGTAAAAGTGTATTATATTATTTTTATGAGATGTTGAATTTGAAAATTAATAAAATTCTTCTTCATAGGAATTTTAAATGTAACAATATTCTTTGGTATACATTACTAATAAAATCTATATTTAAAGTTTATATTTTTTTTTACCGGAAAAAATTCCTTAATTTAAGGAATCATATATTTTCAATCAGTCCATATACATTCTTCACAATTTTAAATCTTGAATTTGATGAGAATTCGTATCTATGAGTGCAAAATATGGCTTAACAAATTAATTTTTTATTATTATTCCAGCCATACTTTTTTATACGATTTTTTGTGAAAATACAAAAGTAAATTCTTAATTTTAAATCAGCCGTACATTAAAGAGTACAAATTTGTTGAAATTACAAAAGTAGTTTTTTACTTTTAAACAGACGTAAATTTAAATCAGTCATAAAAAAGTAATATTTGTTTACCATTTAAATATTAAATCAACCGTAATTAATGTTGTTTGTTTTAGTTGCCACGATTTTCTCCAAACTAAATTAACAAGTGTCATGATTTAAGGGCAACATTTAATGCTAATCTATTTTTAAAAAACATTAAATGTATTTGGCGGGAAAAGTTTGCTAAAAATGTTAAATGGTTAATCTTTTAATATAACTAGTACAGAGCCCGTGCGATGCACGGAGTGCACAATTTTAAGGCTATTTATCCAGGCTTATAATTATATACATGAATAAAGAAAAATGTACGGGATACATATAGTACGTGCGAAAAGCACGAGATGTATTTATTTGGAGAATATTATATTATAAGATGCAATATTCAATAAAAGTTTATAATACGCAAGAAATTGTACAATGTTCAATAAAAGTTTTATAATATTCAAGTGGAGTCTTAAAGTCTCTTGTACATTAAGACTACTGACAAAATAATATTTTAATCAACGAATTTCCTTTCCTTGTAGCCAAATTGTGAATGTGATTTGAGGAGTACAACAAATCGATATATAGCTGACTTGCTTTTTTCATTGTAGTTTTTTTTTCTTTTTTTTTTATAATGAATTTAAAGATATTCTAAAATATAACAAAAATTAATTTTGTTATTACCATTAGGAATTTTACTAAATATAAACTCTCAATCTATGGTGTTAATCAACGTTTAAGTCTAAAAAATTAGGAATTTTTACCTCTTTTAATCAACGTTTAAGTCTAAAAAACAGTAGAGTTATTATAAGTTTTTTTTCTACATCTTTTAAAACATTAAATATGAGCATGTTAGGGCTAGCTTGTAAAATAATTAATATATTATCTCACTAAAACATTTATACTAATAAAAATTTAATTTTAGCATATAAATTTATCCCTTGATATAAGAGAAAGTAACAGTTTTACGTATTGTTGTTCACCATATAATATTTAATTATTATTTTACTATATAATAAAAAAGGAATATTGTTAAATAGTTTAGTAGAATTGTTATAAAATTATATGATTTTTTTTTTCACAATATGGATTTAATATTTTTTTATGATTGGATAATATAAACAAATCTATACTTAACTTTGACAAAATTAAACAAATAAATACTTTAGTAAGTATTTAATGTATATACTAAATAGGAATATATTTGGTATAATCAAATACCAAATATAATCAAATAAGTCAAAGTGTACATTTTTATTTGGTATTTGATTTTTTTATTATTAATATCTTTTTATTATACTTACCTTTTTAAAATAAAATAAATAAATAAATTAATTAAATAAATAAAATATTATAATACCAAAATAGTAATGACATTTAATGCAGTTGACTTTTCTGGATAGTAAATGTAGTAAATAGAATATCCTTTTATATAATATAATATGGAAATAGTAATGCAATAAATGCTGTTGACTTTTCTGGCTACTTAATTTGGTAAATAGTACCCCCTTTAATATAAGTATAGATGATAGATATATCAAACGTACAAAACACATAATATTAAAATTCTTTTTTTCTCGTAATTATGACTATTGTTTTTCTTTTCCCAAAAAAATCATTGTAATCTTCTATTTGGATGAGCCATTAATTGAGGTTTTCAATTCAATAACTATATATACAAAGATTTCATTTCAAACAATGTGCATCAAATTGCCTCGTCTAAAAATATGATTACGTTTTATAATTAATATGCTTATTTTTATATAAAACGTATATATAAAATATAAATATGTGATGTTTGATTGTATACATATTTATTTATATTAAAATAAGATAACATGTATCATCTAACTATCCTATTTCTTATTGATTTACGTAGAAAATTGTGTTGCTTCATGTATCCTCCTTATTTCATTAATTTATTTCTGATATGTTAACTACATTTCATGGCATCCCAATTTGTTTTATTTCATTTAAAGACCAACTGTTACTTTTTCATATCCATTAGATTTTAGGCTTTGTTAATATAAAATTTAAGGCTTTATTGGAACTGATAATACCATATTATACAGCTCGAATGAGCAATTGCAAAGAACTATCTTATGTGTTTTTTCTTTTTTTGTCGGTACAAACTATGTGATGTGTTTTTCTTTATTTGATTGTCACATTTACTTCTTTATGGAATACTTGCCATGACTTATTATGGTTGAAATTCACCATAATTTCACTAGAAAAACAAAATATACAGCTCGAATGAGCAATTACAAAGAACTATGTGATGTGTTTTTTNTCTTTTTTTGTCGGTACAAACTATGTGATGTGTTTTTCTCTATTTGATTGTCACATTTACTTCTTTATGGAATACTTGCCATGACTTATTATGGTTGAAATTCACCATAATTTCATTAGAGAAACTGTACAGGGTATAGACCGAACGGACAGAATTAAAAGCAAACAAATAATCTATTCGGGTTTGTGCTAGTGAAGATGAAGAGAACGACAGAAAACAGACCGAATGCGAAGGTTGAACAGACAGGCAAGGGGTGGAGTGTTCGACTAACATTAATCATTGCTGAAAATTGTCCGTACGATACGCATTAAATGCTGAGGAATTCGGTAATCGTCCATCTAATGGTGCTCAACAAGCAAGGACACGTGTCACAGTCTGGTTTAATCACTTGTATTGAGATTAGATTACGTAGTACAATGCATTAAATATATTGTGACTAAATATCTTTAGAATATCTTATACTACTAAAAGAAAATAAGAAACAAAAAATCCCAAAGAGGATTGTAAGAAGACTTCACATTTCCTATAAAAGAAAGAAGAGACAACATTAAATGCAATGAGGATATTCCCTCATTATGATATAAAAGTCACGGATAGAACTTCCACTCATACCAGACTCACTACTTATTTATATCCGTGCATACCGAACCGAGTGTACCTTCCATTACACAGTTCGAAACATTGTTGGTTACATTTTCATACATCAACAAAAATAAAATAAAAAAAATGTTAAAAAAATCCTCATTTAATAAATTTCAAACATTATCCATATATATATATATATATCATCTTATACATACAAAACAAATAATATTAAAATTCCTTTTTTTTTCTCTTAATTATGACTGTTGTTTTTATTTTCCAAAAAAATAAAATCATCTGTAATCCTCTGTTTGAATGCGCATTAATTGAGCTTTTCAATTCAATTGACTATACAGAGATTTCATTTCAAATAATGTGCATCAAATTGCCTCGTCAAATCTGATTACCAAAATATAACAACAATAACATCACTTAAAATTGTGTTATATATTTGTGTCTTTGAGTGAAGTAATTCAATTACTGAATATCATAATTCTAGATTTATATAAAAGAAGAATAGAAAAATAAGAATGGATCATCAGGGCAAGGTTGTGCGTGCGATAGCGGCGATCGCAGTGATGGTGCTAATGTGTGCCGGCCACGTGTCGGCGTCTTGCTATGGCAGCTGCCTTGAGGACTGCTACGCCGACGGAGGGGAGCGGATAAAGTGCCTCATTCAATGCCTTATAAAGTGCAAAATGTCTACCAACATCTCTTCAACTGCACTTAAATATTGTGCTGCATTTGGGGATGGTAAAAAGTTTAAATATTTACTGTATCTCCATATTCATGACTTTATATATATTATTTTTAGCATAATACATGTAGTAGTAAATTAAAAAAGATCAACAAAATCAAATATATTTATTTATATTATAAAACACAATATATTTTCGATTATTTCGGTTAACCAACAAATTAAACGGTTAATTCAACATTTTGGACAAAATTCAATTAGTTTTGTTTCGATAATGACTTATTTGGTTATTTCAATTTTAATTTGGTTTGGTTGACTGGACCGATAAACAGCCTTAATATTGTGACCCTTATGTTCAGAATTACTTTTTTAGGGGAAAAATCTTTAACCAAACAACATTTATTTAATTTTTATTTATTTTATTTTCAACTGCCATTTTACAGACTTATTTAAAAATGTTCACGTTTTATTTTATTTTGTTTTGTTTTATTTTGTATTTATTTAGTTGTTTATGTTTTTCTTTTCTTTTTTCAATGCAGATGTTAAGAAAGTGGAGGATTGTGTCAACAAGTGGAAGAGTGGGCCAACAGAAGCTAAATATCCATTACCGGGCCAGTGAAATGAAGGGCCCAACTAGACATTTTATCCATTAGAATGTATAACTGCGGTTCATGAAAACATCGTTTGTGTATTATGTTGTGAGAGAATGAAAAAGGAGAACAAATATCTATCCTTGGTATGATATTCAATATCAGCATAATTTTGATTATAATGATTCTCAATTATAGTTGGCGACTAATCAATGGAATAAAACCAGTGAAATATAGGATAAAATGTATCATCAGATATTAAAACCAGTTAAATCAATGTAAAGTAGTCATGAATCAATTATAAATTTGTGAAGTCATGAAGACACCATCTATAGGAGGTTTATTTTTCATAGGCTATGTTCATTTAAGACTCAAAACAATAGAGTTGGATCTATTTTCCACCTCTTTTAATCAACGTTGTTTTTTTAACGAGGGCGGTAAACCTGAGCATGCTTGACAAACAGGTGTTGACGGGTGCGGTCCCACGGACGAAGCGCACCAAATCAGAGAAGCCCAAATGAAGCCTAAGTGAGGTTCCATCCCAAAATCAATTGGTGGTAGGAGGAGTAACTCACTAGGCTTATAAGTTAGGCCTATTTTCCCTGTATAGACGATGTGGGACAACTCACAAGTGTATATTCTAACATCCCCCTCACTTGTGAGTCCTTCGGAAGCCCAAGCCCAACTGGGATGGGTGACGGGTACGTTATTGCAAGGTCCCACGTAGGCCCAAGTCCAACTGGGATGGGTGAATCGGCTCTGATACCATGACAAACGGGGATTGACGGGTGCCGTCCCACGGAAGAAGCGCACTAAATCAGGAAAACCCAAATGAAGTCCAATTGAGGTTTCATCCCAAAACCAGTTGGTGGTAGGAGGAGTAGCCCACTAGGCTTATAAGTTAGGCCTATTTTCCTTATATAGACGATGTGGGACAACTCACAAGTGTATATTCTAACAATGCTAGCGCTAACTTGTAAATTAATTAATATATTATTTCGCTAGAACGTTTATACTAATATAAATTTGATTAGTATATATATTTATTCACTGACATAAGAGAAAATAATAATTTTAGTTATTCTTTTTTCACCATATGATACTTAATTATTATTTTATTCTAAAATTTGTTGTCATATAACATCATTATTATTTATAAAGGCTATAGAAGTAGTCTTCTTCTTCTATTTATTTTATGTAATAAAAAATATTCAATGCATATTAATATAATTTATTTATTTAATTAAATTAAATCATGTAAATAAATTTAAATTAAATATTGTGTATAAATATTTTACAAAATATAAACACATGTTTTTCTAGAATTTGATTTTGAATAAAACTTTGATTTAGAAATTTCCCAAAAACTAAATTTCTTCTATAATAAAGAGATTTTTCTAAGTTGCATGAGTGGATTTATAGTTTATTTAGCATACTATGCAATGAAATATATTTTATAAGAATTTTAGTATGGAAAGAAATTAAAATAGTAAAATTAAAAAAAAAAAAATTAATCATGGTTAATAGTAATATACAAATAATCCTAAAGAACAGTTAATATATTTGAATTTTATCATTTGGCAATTAGTAAAATTATTTAACGTATCTGGTCATTTTCTCTTAAATGGTAAATTATATTAATTTGAATAATTTGATTTTTTTACCTATAATTAAATAAAGCTTAAGAAAAAATTATATTGGTAAGAATTATAAAACAATGAAACATTAATAGTGCATGTGAGCTTTGTGAGTATAGAGTGTCATGTTCTAGTCAGCATACCTCACTCCCTTATATAGCGATGTGTTACCTTGTTGCCTAAGGTTGTTCGTATGAGCTGCCTGGTCTGCCAGAACTGCTCGTTTGTACTACCCGAACTGCCTTATTCTCTTAGGCCATGTGACTCTATCTACGTGTGGTCCTTATTCTGATAATATTTCTTCTTATCCATTAGTGAGTCTTATTAGATGGCCTAATTGTGCGACTGATTCAAATCACCTTGAGCTGGTAGAGTGTTGCATAGGCCGAGCTCGCGTATCCTGTCCACCTGGTCGATCTATCGGCCAGTTATGCCTTCAAGTCGAGTTTCAACTAGGCAATCTGAGGGCCCTAACTCGACCTATTGGTGTCATTAAACCTGCAACGTCCTCCTTGACCTGAGGACTCGTTGTCCTAAATCCACGTTCGACCTCCGTTCGACCAACTAGTTCGTCCGACCAGCCCGGCTGGTTTATCGAACTTATTCTACCCGATGTGGTATTCAGTATCAAACTTAGAATATGTTTTCATGTTTATGTTGACTGAAATCAACGTGAATCACGAAAAATCAATTTTGTAGTTTATTATAATGGCTATCATTAAAATTATTACAGATATTAATAAAACTACTCAAGGAAATAATATTTTTTAATCATCTCTGATTTGATCTTATTTGAAAACATGTATATGCAAGCAACTAAAACTTATATTTAAAAATTTCTAAAGAAGACATGCATTAAATGTTCTTAGATTTTTTGGGTAGTATTTTTAGTAAATGTTTATTTATATATATAGACATTTTCACTCCAATATTATTTTGAATAAACATTAATATTTTTATATAACATGTAGATATATAAATAAAATATTATATGTTAAATGTATGAATATTATATTTAAAATCATAAGTTAGATATTGAGAATACCATATTTTATAAATTTGATCGTTAATAAAAATAAATATATAATTTCAAACTATTTTACTTATATATAAATCACTATATAAATTGCATGAAACTATTTCAGATTGTATGACAATTAGAATCAAATAATAATAATAAAAAAAAAAGAGAAATACTTAAATAGAATGACACAGAACGAGTACCACTGAACACATAAAAATCGAAATAAGGAATCTCTAATTAATGTTGCACCAAAATCATGTAGCATTGAAGGTTCCAAGTCGAGACTTAATTAAGTTTTTTACGATACCAGTTACCAACAAGGGAAGTACTAATGACATTGGAATTTTGCTTGTTTAGAGGGTAGCATAGTTCATACACATAGAAGGTACCAAGTCAAGACATAATTAATTTTATTCATGATACTAATTAGGGAAATACTAATCACATTGGAATTTTGCTTGCTTAGAAGGTAACATAGTTCTTACACGTTAAAATTTGCCTGTTTAGTATATAGGCAAGCTAAATGGGCTCTATTTGTTGAGAAATTAGTCTTCCTTGGCGACGAATCTAACTTTAATTTATAGTATGAGGATAAACCTTTGAGGGTATTCCAAAGTTTGGTAAAGATTATAAACAATTTATTGAAAAATATAAAGAAAACTATTACTTAAATACTAATGTTGGAATCGAATAATTAGACAATCATAATTTTTTCATTAATGGATTTACATATTTTCAGAATAAATTCTCATATTTCAAAAACAATATAAAACAAAATATGAGATTTTATAGTAAAAAAAATTATTTTTATTAAGAAGTATAACAACATAAGCATGACGTAAATAATACTAGAATTTGTGTTATATAAAACATGTTATAGTGTATAGCTATTAAATATAATTTCCCTGACATTTTGTTTGTCATATTGTAAGTTAATCAAATCTCTCCCTATATATCAATGCAGTTTTTTTTAATTCGAAATATAATTTTTTGCTACATATTATCTCAAGCATAAGAATATGTCACTTAGCTCAATACATTCTAAAATTATATATAAAGAGGATTTATATTGATTAATTTAATATTTAATTAGAAAGATGATTTTCTTATATTTTCCTGCCCTCTCGCTCGCTTCAAAATCCCATTACTGATACAACACAGTACAGCTCCATATTCTCTCTCTCTCTCTAGAATTAACCGCAGCTGCATTCACAGCCGAGAGACCACGGTCAAAAGAGTTCACTACTGTAAAGATATAATTCACACACTGTGAATTTGTATATCTGTGTGCTGGGATTTGTCGGTGGCGCTCGAGTCCCCAGTCCGTAGCTCTTCATTCCTGATTTCTCATTTCTCACTAGGAAGAAGATTATTGTGTTTTTACTGTGGGATCCTATGAAGTCTACCATTTTCAAAGAAAGATCGAGTCTTATACTCGCAGCTGCGTAAGTAAATCCGTTGACTAGCTCTCTTGCGACCTTTGTTCAAAAATTCCTTTTGTTAGCTGTTGCGCGCGCGACCGTCGATTCACTTGGCCGCAGTTTTCCGTTCATCCCGGTGAGTTGTGGGGTTTCTTGAAATCGATTTTATTCGTTTCGTGTTATGAGCTGATACGATTCCAGTATTTGCGCCGTGTGTGTGTGTTGTTTCGTCAAGTTTTTTATTTTTACTTTTTTTCCGGATATGTATATGTGGTTATTATGCTGGTTGAATTACCCAAGAATTTATTGTTCAAAATAATTAAAAAAAAAAGGTCTTCTGTTCAGAAATTCAATTGAATGCCTACAATGACTCTCTAATCATTCCCGGTCGAATTTGACATTATGTTTATTATGTTGTGTGTGATGAGGAGCTTCATCTCTTTATACTATCATGATTCATGAGGCTCTATGTTTAACCTCAAGTCATTTGGGAACTTCTGATTTTTCCTATGCAGGCAGAGAGCTTGTTATTTGTGCATTGCGGCTCAAAATCCAAGAATTCCTTTAACGACCGAATTCAAGAAGCTTCAACCTTAATTTTCTTGGCATGTGTTTCCATAATTGTCAAGAAACTCTAACAGAGATCTGACTGCAACAGTTTTTCCACAATGGAAGAAGGCAATATAATCAGGCCATCACCATTAAGGCCCGGAGGCTCCTTAAAGTCCCCTTCGTCGGGAAAATCGAGCCCAAGGGGTTCTCCTTCTTTCCGGAGATTAAACTCAGTTCGAACCCCAAGAAGAGAATCCAAGCCTTTAGTGCTCTTCGGCTCCCACTGTTTTAGAAGCAATCGAGTTGTCCTCTGGCTGCTTCTGATCACTCTCTGGGCTTACGCCGGATTCTATTTCCAGTCAAGGTGGGCCCACGGAGATAACAAAGAGAATCTCTTCAGCGGCGGTTATGGTGGTGAGAACATTGGGCCCCCGCGTCCGAACGAGAGGGACCTAATCGCAAATATCAATGTGGACAATTCGAGTTTCAGGAATGTTGACGTGAATGTGAGTAAGAAAGCAAGTGGTGGTGTTTTTTCGAGCAAGAACAAGTCGACGAAAAAGAAAAGTAAGAGATCCGCGCGCACGTCGCGTAAAAAGAGCCAGAGTAAACCGAAAGTATTCGCAGACGAGTCGGAAAGTGAAATTGATTTTCAGATGGATGAAATTCCGAAGCAGAACACGACGTATGGGTTTCTTGTGGGCCCATTTGGGTCCGTGGAAGATTCTGTTTTGGAGTGGAGTCCTGAAAAGAGGAGGGGGACTTGTGACAGGAAGGGCGCGTTTGCCCGTCTCGTCTGGTCGAGGAAATTCGTCTTGATCTTTCACGAGCTGTCCATGACGGGTGCCCCGCTGGCAATGATGGAGCTGGCAACAGAGTTCTTGAGCTGTGGGGCCACGGTTTCGGTTATAGTTCTTAGCAGAAAGGGAGGTTTGATGACGGAGCTTGTGAGGAGGAAGATCAAGGTACTGGAGGATAAGACGGATTTGAGTTTTAAGACGGCCATGAAGGCTGATCTGATAATTGCGGGGTCCGCTGTTTGTTCGAACTGGATTGGTGCTTGATAGTGTCCAAATTGAGTATATCTTATATTTTACCTGATTATTCTTTAAATTTGCCAAAAAAAAAAGAAAAAAGAAAAAAAGAGTCCGATATTTTAATGGTGAGATCATTTTTCACTACTGCCTTCTTTTACCTTCTTCTGCATTTCTGTTTGATGCGAACTGAGTTATTAGCTTAGTGGCAGAATAAAATTTTCACTCTGACATTGTAAACTGCCATTTTCTGTGAAATGTGGTATTGTGTATCCAATGGCTGACCATTGAGTACCAAATAAGACTAATTTAATCCCAAGTACATGGAAACCAGAATAATTTGCTTGCTTTGTAACACTTTCAAGCATTTTAAATATCTGTCTTGCAGAATATCCTACAATTTTTTCTGTTATGTCTTGCTTCAGCAGTATTATCATGAATGAGATTATTATAATAATTAATCGTGACCTCAGAAAATTACCTCTCACGTACGGTTCTCGGCTCCAGCCAAATCATGTGGTGGATCATGGAGAACAGACGAGAATATTTCAACCGGACAATGCCTGTTCTCAACCGAGTCAAGAAGCTAATCTTCCTCTCGCAATCACAATCCAAACAGTGGCTCGATTGGTGCCAGCAAGAGAACATCCAACTCAAATCCGAACCTGCTCTCATCCCACTTTCGGTCAATGATGAGCTGGCGTTTGCTGCCGGCATCCCCTCATCCCTCAACACCCCATCATTCACCACTCAAAACATGCTCGAGAGAAAACAGCTGTTGAGAAATGCCGTCAGAAAAGAAATGGGACTTGCAGATAGTGACATGCTGGCTATTACACTAAGCAGCATAAACTCAGGAAAGGGCCAGCTGTTGCTTCTTGAGTCCGCACGCTTGATGATTGAAAACGGGCCCTCGGTGGATAAATCTGGCGGTAAAGATTCGATTTTTACGGAACATGATTATTACTCAAGGGGGTTGCTCGGGAGTCGGGAGAGAGAAGGTGGGATGGATAGAATCAAAATTCTTATTGGGTCAGTGGGGTCGAAAAGTAACAAGGTGCTTTATGTGAAAACACTTCTGAGGTATTTAGCCGAGCACTCGAACTTGTCGAGATCTGTCTTGTGGACCCCAGCGACAACTCGTGTTGCGTCTCTATATGCAGCAGCGGATGCTTATGTGATGAACTCTCAGGTATGTAGATTTGAAGAGAACTTTTTTATTATGAAAAAAGATCCATGAATGTATACATGACATGCTATATAAAAATGGATACCACAAAAAATCACTTGGGTGTCGCGGCTAAAATTAGAAGATGTTGTGTTTGGTAATGTTTTTGCCTATTGTTGTTTATGTTTGTTCGATTGACTTACTTCATTCGAATTATTGTAAGCAATTGCATGTCGAGTTATGTTGGGTACATGTTATCATGTTCATCTATTTGATTTTTCATGGAGTTGGTTAATTTTGCGTTGCATATCGTTACAGGGACTTGGAGAGACATTTGGACGAGTAACAATTGAAGCAATGGCATTTGGACTTCCTGTATGTCTATAATTCTTTCTTTCTATTTTTTCTTATTTATTTATTTATTTATTTAAATACTATTGTTAGCCAGTGATTTTTGTTTATGCAGTTGAAATTATTCTGAACAAGTTTCATAATCCACTGCTCACCTGATAATCATTACTCTCTCTTACAATTTGCTTGTCAGTGAGATTAATGCGGTGTACAGCCTACTTAACTCTTTGATTTTTCATTTTCTCGGACAAGTTTGTGCATGAAAGTGGTGATCGAATCAGTTGATTAATTTAATTTGTTTGCTAATTCGTTGCATTTTCCTTCCATCCATTCGTAAATTTGTGCATGTAAAGTGAACCACTCATGTCTTAACTCATTGGTGCAGGTGCTCGGAACTGATTCAGGTGGCACAAAAGAGATTGTCGAGCACAATGTGACTGGTCTCCTCCACCCTTTGGGCCGCCCAGGGGCCCAAATTCTCGCAAGAAATCTTGAATTTCTGCTGAAAAATCGGTTGGCTAGGCAAGAAATGGGGATGAGAGGTCGAGAGAAGGTGGAGAAAATGTACTTAAAGAAGCATATGTTCCAGAAATTTGGTGAGGTTCTGTACAAGTCCATGAGAATAAAGTAATAGGTTTTTGTGTTCATTCTTCCCGCTTTTTCATTCGAAGCCTACAGAGTATTGATTAGTTGGAGTGCTGTTTTTTAATGGTTTATAGTGATAGCAAATGTTCCAAATTTCACCACAATATTCCTTCATAGAGAGATCTCTTTTACTCGTTGATGTTTGTTCATCTGTTTTTCTTTCATTATCTCTGTCATCATCAATAACTAAATTCCAATCTGTACTTGCTTGCTTTGGAGTGCAAAGTCATTTTCTGTGTTTACAACACCTTTTGAAATATTATACATAGACTCGACATTTAAAATAATACCCATATATAAATCATTTCCAAATGCATTATAGATCAAAAGATAATGCAATTTAAGACTCAAATGCAAAAATAAAACTCATATTAACCATTCATAAAGTTCGTATATTTGCAATAAAGAAAAAACCTTTATAAATGTAAGAAATAAAAATGAATTTGTAGGTGACCGGTGTACATTTGTTGAAGGTAACAGTATTTATGCTGTTCAGTTCCATCTCGAAGCGCAGATTTGATGAAGAGAGACTGAGGTCATTACAGTAGCACTGCAAGAACCTTCCAAGAATTCCCTGGGAATGGACCGAGACCTGTTTAATAGTCCATCCTACAAGAAAAAAATACGACGTTATGATTAACTGAAACCTTTCAAATGAACCTTTTTTCTATAGTTTTAACTATTTGCATTTGCAGAAAAATATGACCTCTTCAAATGTATTTGCTTTTTCCTGGATATTTGTGGTACTTTTAAGAGTATTAATTATGTTTTAATATCATTTTCTATTGTAAACGTGGTTTATAAGGTATCATTTTTGTTCTCAAATTTTCTTTTTTTTTCCTCATATTTCTTTTAAAATTATAACAAATTTACTAACTTAAATTATAAATAAATTTAAAAACTAATAAGCCTTTTACTTATTAATAATATTTTAATATATCCAATTAATCATGTTTTTATGAATTTCGATTTGACATCTATATTATACAAACAAAATAAATAGATAATTATATATATATAATTAAAATTAAGCTATTAATATTAATTCAAAAAAAATAAAGTTATTTAAACTAAAATAACTACAAATTAGTTATCCCATATAAATTTAAAAAAATTTAATATAAGATGATATGTCATATAAGTAATGGTATTATTTTAAATATAAATAATAATATATTTTTATATATGCAGATGGTCCATTTAGAAAAAAACCCACGGATAGAGGGTCCTTCTTCCTAGCCCAAATAGATACGAACTGTTCCACCTAAATGGTCCATTTAGATGAGAGCCCAAGGATACAGACTACGGAGTCCTTCTTGGCATGCGTAGCCCAAAGAATTACCAAGTAACGTAATCTATATACTCCCTCCTATTTTTAATATTTGTCATTCTAGCTTAATTGATTATTTGTTAAATAAATATCGTTTTGACTATTTTGTTCATATTTTTCCCTTTTAACCCCTCCATCAATACCCATTGTCTCTTCATATTCTCAAGAACATTCATCCACAATTGTGTCATTAAATAGGGTTAAACTTTGAAAGAAAAATATTTCTTAATTAGCGTGTTGATAGCCAGGATGACAAATATTTAAAATATGAGGGAGTATATATTAAACTGAAGCAGCTGGAATTTTCCCTCCAAAACTATATTAATTACTAGAAATAAATATTACCAACTTTTATGTAAAATTTTCATCAAAAACTACATTTACTACATTGAAATAAATTTTTATCAATTTCTATGCATGATTTATCAATAAAAAAATATTTGTTAGATATGAATAATTAATTTGTTTTCATAATTGTATTGGAATTTGCACTCCAATTTCTCTTGGCTAAATAAATGCTTCAACTACTTATGACCATGAAATAAATTTTGTAATTTCTGTGTATTATTTATCATTCAAATAATATCATAATTATTTGTTACAAATAAATACTTATTTTAGTCATAATCAATAATTGTACAAATTTTTGTTAAATATTTTTATGCTTTGTGAGTGACATAATTATTTGTTACAAATAATATTTAATACTATACATAATTATTTATTATGAATTCTCATTCCAATATCCCACTTATTATTTGTCTCTCTTCCCATTTGTGAGTATGAGTTCCTTTCCTTATATATTATATTTTTTTCTTATAAAAATAAATTATCAATCTCATTTATTTAATCATTAAAATAATTTTTAAAGTAAATTTTTTATTTAAAATCATTTTATATCTATTTTTGTTTATTTTGGAACATCAAACACAATATTAATCTTTTTGGTTATATTCGAAATGTTTCAAGGTAAAATAGAAAAAATCATAACTAATACAATATCTGCATGTAATATAATAAATAAATATTTTTATAACTTTTAATTTGGTATCTATATTGCATATATATAGCTAAACTTTTAGATTCGATATGTCAATTTAAAATTCAATATCGTTTATTTTAACATACACATGTTCAATGTTTATATATAAATATCTAATAGTAGCACCATGTCACGTTTGACACATATACTCTAATATGATGAAATTTACGTACACGTTAATAAAATATGTAATCATCTCTTGTTAATCTAATATTATATTATTTTATATCTCTATCTAATTCTAAAAAATTACAAGTAACCATTAAATTATTTGTATTGAGCACCTCATTCCTAAACAATATATTTTAATATAAATTATAGAAAGTCTAATCATTCACAAACTCTTATATGAGCTGGAATAAGGTTTAGTCAAGTCAACGTGTCATTCTTTTTTAACAAAAATGCGATCTTAGACTTCTAAATTTCATATTTTTGGTTATTTTATTTTATAATATATTTTTTATTTAATATTGACAGTGATCATCTTAATTATTTTCTTAATATAATATTATGAAAATAAAAATTACAACTTTAAAGTATATAATAAAAAATAATTCAATATGTATAAACATAAATTTTTTTTGTACAATGAGGTGAACATTTATTTTCATAGTTTGTGTACAACATAAAAATAATTGATTAGTATAGACATAAATTTGTATTTTGTACAATGAGGTGAACATTTATTTTCATAGTTTGTATACAACATAAAAGTAATTGATTTATTAGTGTTTGGACATAGCATCTAATTTAGTTTCATTTATGGGTAAGCAATATAAGAATATTGTGAAATGAAAAATTTTAGAAAATGATGACAGAAAGAGTGAGAATTTCAACAACAACAAGAGAGATAAAAAGTGATATTGTAGTTTTGACTATCAAGACGAAATGATTCTATTAATTGAATATTTTGATCCGATAATTATTTGTTTCATCTATTTTATTTGAGCTTAAATTTGAGGTTATGTAAAAGTTGGTAAAAATTGACCTCCCTTATTTATTTTTTTAATAAATACACAATAATGCTGTTTATAAATAAAAATAGCATAATGTGTCAGTTACCATTTAATTTTTCTTAATAGAAGCATATTATCGCAACTGAATGATGTAGTAGATAAAGTTAAACAAAACTTATTATAATGCATTAAATACTTTTTCCTTATCATCTATCACAATGTTAATTTCACAAGAATATTTTTTTTAATATTATATAATATAATTTAAATGTCTTTTTCTTATTACTTTACAAAAAAATTGTCAATGTGCGCTTCTAAAAATTACATTGAATTGTAATTCACATTGATTTGTGCAATTACTTGGTCTATTTATAACTTTACGAAAAATGATCAATCTTCCATGTCATTCTCTAATCACCATCACACTTATTTTGCAAAAAAATTTGAAATGTTAATATTTATTTTGTTAATAAAAAAGTGCAAAATATGTGGACCTAATTTAAAATTAAATACATGCGGATAGAAGTCATTTTTATTTTTTATTAAGTATTTAATTTATATTTATAAATTTTGATTTACTCATCGTTGTAACATGTTAACTTTAATTATTAATATATTACTTTATTTGTAGAATAGTAATTATGACTTTATCTTTTTGTACCTATGGAATTATGTTATCATGTAGATATTTTTATGAAAAATTATCAAGGAGTGTCATTAATGTGACAAATAATTTTTTTTATAGTATATCACATTTTTTTGTAAGCTTATGAATTTAATTTTTAAAATTTTAAGAAAAAAATATATTGAATTTTTTAGTTACAACAATTATACGTTGTTATTGTTTCTATAGTCACGAATCCATGTTGTCTAATTATTGTTATTACTGTTGGTGATAATGAACACAACTCATCTACAATTAATGCTATATTAATGTTATATTTGTGAAAGTATATTTATTAAATTAGTAAAAAATTTAGTCTACATTATATCAATAGATGTATTCTAAAATATTTTTCTATTAAATTATCATTCATTCACATAATTTTTAATATTAAACCGCGCAACACCGTAGCGTACTAGTTTGCCAAAACAGCTAGCTCAGAGTCTCTAATCTCTACTCATTTGTGAATGTGCAATGTGAATGCGTTACATACGCGAAGTAATTACAGGTGCTTGCCGGCCGTATATAAACCGAATCCGAAGAGAAGCATTGAGCGGCGCGCGCCTTTTCACGCAGCTAGGTTTTCATTTTCCCATTTCTCACTCTTATAGCTTGTTAGCCCCTCGAATTGCAGCCGATTTGTCGTTATTTTCAATTTTCCGCAGTCCAAAAGCATAGAGGCTTACTCACCGGAAAAAAAGGAGTAGGGAATTGGTTTGGCTGTATCGTTGAACTCATAAGCGGATTTAGGTATCTTTTTATTGTTCTTCATTTCGTTTCTTGTTTTTGTTTACAGATTATGGAATTACTGCGTTTGTATTTTATTTTTATGGTTTTATTTTTCATGTTCTCCTTCCTATTCACGGACTGTTTTGTGCTATTTTCTATCTATGTGTGCTGGTTTATAGACCTTCTTCTAAGATAAAATCTGTATTATGTGTTTGGTTTGTGATTTGTTAATGTTTTGCTTCTACGAAGCTACTTGAAAGCTTGAACAGTATCGGTTTCCGTAAAAAGGGCTATAATATAAGGTTATATGCAAGACGCTAAATTTGATAGTCGCCAGTGAGCTTTCATTTATAAGTATTTTGTTTATTTAATTATTTCCTCTTTCAGGTGTTTGAGAAAATGCTCGAGCATAATTATAATTTGAATTGAATTGGATATGATTGTATTGAATTTTCACTTTATTGGTTTTATACGTGTTGAAGCCTACATGGACATAAATTGAGCTTCCTAGAGTTAGATTTGATGTTGCAATTTATCCAACTTGAATGAATGATGTTGAACGAGAGCTCACGTCGCCTTGATGCCTTGGGATTTTTTATTTTTATTTTTCAAAATAACCTCCAGCTTTTGGGGTAATCCAACTTTTTATCAGCAATCTCAGGCCACGGATTCTGGAAGCGTTTCATGCTATATGTTTTTTCAGATTGATATTTGAAGCATCTCTATAGTTGGGACCTTGTCTTGAATTTGAATGTATTGTGAATGTTGGAAATGAAGAAGTTGGGACTAAGTTTGTTATCATATTATTTTCTTAAATTGAGCTATTGGTTTTCATTTGGATACAGTGACATTTTGAGTAGTGAGTTGTCAGATGGCCAGCATGCAGGCTTGCAGTGGATCATCCGCAACAATAAACTCCATTCAACAGACTCTTGGGACCAAAGCATCAATAATTCCTCTGAAATCTTTTGGCATCAGTAGGTTCCCAAATAATGTGAAATTGGGTTCAGTCAAGTTCTGTAGATCATCTCAGCTCGAAGAGGGCTTAGTCACTGGGAAGCCACCCTCTCCTGTGTCTGTTGTTGATGTTCAGAAAATCGGAGGTATATTCAATCATTTCTAATTTGTAGAATTTTGTGCATTTTGATTTTTTTTTTTTTTTTTTATNTTTTTTTTTTTTTTTTTTATGTTGTGCAGGCATATTATAGAGCTTATGTATTTATTTGTTCCATCTTCTTTAAGTATCAAATGTTAAAACAACTTGATTTGGGTTGTTGTGTTTATATTTCTGGTCAATGTATACAAATGTGCAATTTATGAGATTGCAACTACCCATTTCTCTATTATTGTTATTTTGAGAAAATATGCATTTTATGTACCTTTTCCCTTCTGTGGCCTAAGTCTGAAAAGAAGTGAGTCAGTGAGTTATGGCAATGTCGTTGTTGTGGAGAAGTTATAGCTTTGGACTTCTTCAATTTTCTTCTAGTCAACTTTAGAATTGATATTTACTAAATGGTGATGGTTTCTGGCTAGCTGTTCGTCTTCTTAAAAATTTCTGTTAGGGGGCACTGCTACACGATGATAAAGGAATCTTTTTATTGTGTCAAAGATTAAGTGATATTATTTTTTGTTACTTATATTTGGTTCTCTTCGGTCACAAGTGTACTGAGTATGTTTTGATTGTGCCATTCATTGTATCAAATTAATTGGAACTTGTATTTGCAAGACTTAATCTTGCATTGTGAACTGAAATGATTAGGTGCTGGAAGTAGCTTTGTGGACTATGGCTTGAGTGAAGCTGATCCTGAAGTTCACTCCATAATTGATAAAGAGAAAAATCGTCAGTTCAGAAGCTTGGAGCTTATAGCTTCCGAGAACTTCACATCTCGAGCTGTAATGGAAGCAGTTGGTTCTTGTCTCACTAATAAATATTCTGAAGGATTGCCTGGCAAAAGGTAGGTTTTACGTAGATATACCCCTGGAAGGCAGGGATAAATTTGAAAAAAATTGCGTAGCTATCGTTTTGAAATACCGTTGGATATTATTTATTTGATCTCTGTAGGTACTATGGTGGCAATGAGTACATAGATGAACTTGAGATTCTTTGCCAAGAGAGGGCTCTTGCAGCTTTCAATTTGGATGGAAGTCAATGGGGCGTTAATGTTCAACCATTGTCAGGGTCACCTGCCAATTTTGAAGTGTACACGGCTATATTGAGTCCACATGACCGTATAATGGTAAAATGACATGTCTCCTGGCCTTCTGCTTCACATAGTTATAAGTACCTTGAGTTATATTTACTTGATGGGTTTTGAATTAATTTCAGGGCTTGGATTTACCACATGGTGGACATTTGTCTCATGGGTTCATGACTGCCAAGAGACGGGTGTCTGGCACATCTATTTACTTTGAATCCATGCCTTATCGGCTGGATGAATCTACAGGTTTCATGATCATAGTGTGTGGTTGCTTTGTTCTCAGACTAATTTGTATTTTTTTTTTTTTTTTNATTTTTTTTTTTTTTTTTCTGATTTGTGAAATTGTTTATGCAGGCCTTGTTGACTATGACATGCTTGAGAAAACAGCTACCCTGTTCCGTCCAAAACTTATCATTGCTGGTGCCAGTGCTTATCCTCGAGATTTTGATTATCCCCGCATGAGAAAGGTACCGTGTCTCATTGCATATTACAGATGCCACTTTATTAGTGTGCTTATATAACTTAGTTTTACGAACACCTTATTATTTTTCTTCTTGAAATTTGTGTAGATAGCAGATTCTGTTGGTGCTTTTCTTATGATGGACATGGCTCATATCAGTGGACTTGTTTCTGCTTCTGTTGTTGCCAACCCATTTGAGTTCTGCGACATTGTAACGACTACAACACACAAGGTATCTTGATTTCTTATCTGTTTTTTCATACTCGGCAAGGGAAAATCACAAAAACTATCCATGAAGTTTAGCCTATAGTTAATTCCCAACTTGCTTGAAGCTCCATTTAAATCTTAAAATTATAATATTCGATTATCTGTAACCTTTAGTTTGAGTTATCCAAGTGATTCAGTAAGGTTATTAAGTTTTTTTTCTGTAACTAGGGTAATTATGACCTTCATTTTTTTCACCCTGACCATGATATTTTTCACCAGTCTCTCAGGGGTCCTCGAGGGGGCATGATTTTCTTCAAGAAGGAACCCGTGCTGGGAGTTGATTTAGAATCTGCTATTAACAATGCTGTTTTCCCAGGTTTACAGGTCCGTGAAATGCAAGCCAGGCCTAAATTTCTATTTTTGGTCTATACTTATTTGTTTTGTTCAATTAATGATCCCATTTGTTATTATGAATAGGGAGGTCCACATAATCACACAATTGGTGGGCTTGCCGTTTCCCTGAAACACGCAAAATCACCAGAGTTCAAGGTTTATCAAAACAAGGTAATCTTAATATGCTTATCAAAACAAGGTAATCTTAATCTGGATACTTTCTCTAATTAGTTTAATTGAATGGTCACACTCTACAACATTGTTTGCTTATTATGACCCTGCTAGGTGGTCTCTAACTGTCAAGCGCTTGCCAGTCGACTAATGGAGTTGGGATACAAATTGGTCTCTGGAGGGAGTGATAACCATTTGGTTCTTGTGGACCTACGTCCCTTGGTGAGCATATTAACTGCAATAATCACTTAGGCTAATGTTTGGTAAAATTTGTTGATAAGTTGATAAGCTAGGTTATATAGCTTATAAGTTATTTTCGAGTTTATAACTTATAGCTGAAAAACTACAGCTTATATGATACTCCCTCCGATTCTTTTTAAATGTTATTTTGGCTTTATGAACTATTAACCAAATAAATGATGTTTTGGATCTTTTGTACATATTTTTCCGTTATTACTCTCATTTAGCTAATAAATACACTACGCTTTTTCATATTCACTCTTCATCTTTTTTTCCAAAACATCCATCTCTATCTTCGGTAAAGTGGATTAAAGAGGGTTATATTATTAACAAAAAAAAGATTCTTAATTATAGCAACTTCTCAAAACGACATATATTATGAATGGGAGGGAGTAAAAGTGTTTGGTAAAATTAGCTGACAAGCTAGTGAAATAAAAATATCAACGAGCTTATTTAAAAAGCTACCCAAAAAAGCTTATGAGATAAGCTCGGGCTTTTTAAAAAGCTCCTCCTACCAGACGAAGTTTATTTGAATTTTGAATACATGAATCTTGTAAGCTAACCAAATAACTAGCTTATTTGTTTACCAAACATAGCCTTAAAATACTTGCTTCTGTGTATGCTCGTTTGGGATAATACCCAAGGAGAAAAAACACCCACACACACACACATCCAAGGTTTGGCTTAGTGACAGGAAATCCCCTGTACTATTTGATAATGGGATTTTGTTGCGTAATTATTTTGAAAGATACTAGGGGTTCTTGTTGAGTAAAAATTGCACTACTATGTTTCCTTTT